TAATGGCTACAACAGCTAGGGCTGAGCCAGGCTGATACCAGGAGATAGGAGCTACTTCCAGGTCTCCCATGTGTGTGGTAGGGGCCTAAGCACATGGCCATCTTCCACTGCTTTTCCAGGCCATTAGCAGGGAGATGTATTGGCTGTGCAGCAGATGGGGCTCCAACTCGTGCCCATATAGGATGTAGGCATTGCAGGCTGACACTTCACCTGCTGCATCACAGAGTCAGCCTCAGAGAAAAAATATTTTTTTTGCAACAAGAGGCATGTTGGGAGCTTGTAGGTGGAGAGGCAAACAGAAGAGTGGAAAAGCACAGCTTGGAGTGTGACACTGGGTTCAAGTCCTCCTTCAGCACCACTCACCTACCGTGTGACGTTGATCAGAGCAGCTTCCAAGCCTCACTCAGCCCCTCCTCTGTAAGGAAGAGGAGTCCAATGTGGAGGATGTGGTGAGCACTGCCCCAGACCCTGATCAGCACCGGGCACCCAGTGACTGACAAAGAAGTGCAGCCCTTGTAAGGACCGGGCTGTGTCCTTTCTGTCACAGGAGGACGACTGTGGCCCCGGCCACACTTCCTGGAGGACCTCCTTCCCACTGCAGGGAAGCTTCCTGGGGTTTGGTCAGTCTGGGACCCAGCTGTGTGACAACTTCTCTCCTCTTCACCTCTCTCTCTCTCTCTTTCTCAGCCCAGTTCTCTTCTCCTGGTTTCTGGCTGACTTGGGTGACTCCTCACTGGGTGACCACTCTCTGTGTCAGTGTCTGCCTGGGGCTACTGGAGGGGATGGGTCGGGGTCCTGAGGCTCTGGGACAGTGGCCCTGAGGCTGTCCCCTGGGGGCACTGCTCTCCCAGGTGGTGACCATGGTAGACCCCTCTCCCAGTGACAGCCAGGCTCCAGGGTCCCCTGGCAGCAGGAGGCCTGTCCCTGGCTGACCTCAGGACCCCTGCAGTACCTTCCTGAGAAAGCTCAGGGCTGCCTGCAGGGAAATTTCAGGATCTGTTCTGCTGATGCCAAGGATGGGGCCCAACCTCCTTCCCAGAGATTTACTCAGAGAGCTCAGGGCTGCACACGTGCGTCTCCTGCAGCTCTGGAGCTTCTCTGGGGGACCAGAGGCCGTTCCTCTGCAGTGCAGTCAGCAGGAAGGGGAGGCCTCTGCCTCCAGGCTCCACTCAGAACCCTGACCTGTGCAGCTGCCCTATCACATGCGCACTGACCACTTTCCACCTTCCCACCTCCCTGGCTGGACAGAGGTACTGACGACCCAGCTGTAGGGAGATGGGTTTGCCATGAAATGAAGACAGGAGCTGACAGTGCAACCTGTGAAAGGTTTCGTGGATTATGTGACATAATCTGCTCACAGGCGCTGTCAGCTGGGTGTGCAGAAGCATGAATACTACAAACACAAAAGGAGGCCAAGAGCAGGAGAGAGAAAGCCCAGCCCCAGGACGCCCGCAGGAGAAGCAGGAGTGAGAGCAGCTGAGCCCAGGTTGCACTGTGTGCTCTGCCCACGGCAGCCTTGGCGTGCAGCCCCATCGGCCCCTGACTTTCAAACCAGTCCATAGCACAGCGTGTGTGTCCATCCTAGATCAAGGCTGAGTGCTCCCAGCCCCCAGGACAATCCCGCCTGCCCCTTCTGGACCTCACCTCCTCCTCAGCCAGCCAGGGGCCTGCTCCTCGTGCCACTTCTCTCACCGCAGCTCCTCCTGCTGCTCTCTCATTGCATGCATTTGCAGTCCTGCACTGCGTGGTGTTTTGGGTCTGGGTTCCAGGATTCCTGTCATCTGGACTGCATTGTCAGCCTTCCTGCTGGGAAGGGCTGCTGTCTGCCAGTGCTGGCCACAAGGGGGCAGCAGAGGACTGGGAAACCCGGTGCCGCTGGCGCTGCCTCTGGGTTGCCCTGCTCCTCTGGGGCCTGCTGCTGTGCAGAGTTCTGGAGCAGGGGTTTGGAGCCAGGATCTCCGCACTGTTGGGAACACGCACTCCTTTAAATAATGAGGAGCTCACGGAGAAGGAGAATGAAAGGGAAGCTTATTTTGGTAGAAAGCATTGTGAGGTCCGTGAGCAGCTTTTCCTAAATGCATTTCCAGGGACTTCTGGAAGAGCCCTCCCAGGTCCTTGGCCTCCCCTCTGCCCCCAGATCCCTGGACACCGCTAGGGCTGCTGCCCCCCACGTGGTGGCCCCACTGGGAGCAGGCGGAACTCTGGGGGGAGCTGGCGCCGGCAGGGCTGACCCTGGTGGGTTCCTCACCTCGGGACCCCGGGTCTCAGCTGTGACAGGAGGACAGCAGAGCGCCTCCCAGTAACGCAGGAGGACGGGCACGGAGACTCCGTGTGTGCTGCTCAGAGGGAAATGCGGGGGAGTGAGCGGGGGCCGAGTTGTGGTGGAGGCCGTGGGACAGCAGAGGACTGACGTCCATTACAGGGACAGCAGAGGGCAGGCGTCCATCCAGTTCTCTCAGCCTCCCTTCTCAGGGTTTTATGGCGCCTCAGCAGCCTCTGCCTTTTCGGGGGACAAGACCGGGGTCTTTTCCATCACCACTTCCTCTGGTCCCTCCACCAGGATTTGCCTGCTGCACCCTTGCCCAGGCAGGGCCTGATCCACACGGAACCCGAGGTGAAGGGTCAGAGAATTCCTCCAGGTCGCTGATGGCCCCCATCTGGGCAGCACTGGCGCTGGCGCTCGGGGCCCAGCCACTGCCCAGCCCGGGAAAGCGCTGAGACCCTGTGGGAGGAGGGGTCCATCGGCCCCGCCCCGGATACACCCGGGCTTCTTTCTTCATAACCCTGCCTGCTTCCTCTCTGCCTCCTTCCTTTTTTTTTTTTCATTTTATTTATCCATTTGTGATGTAGAGTCACAGAGAGAGGGAGAGACAAAGGTCTTCCATCTGCTGGTTCACTCCCCAGATGGCCGCAATGGCCAGAATTGAGCTGATCGGAAGCCAGGAGCTTAATCGTGGTCTCCCACGTGGGTTCAGGGACTGAAGGACTTGGACCATCTTCTGCTTTTCCAGGCATGACAGGGAGCCTGATAGGAAGTGGAGGAGCCGGGACTCGAACCGGCGCCCGCTTGGCATGTCGGTGCTGTTGCCTCCTTCCTTGATGCTCTTTCTTTGCTTGTGCCATCATCTTTCCACTTCGTTTCAAGTTTTATTTATTTTTTGCTTATTTATTAGTGTGATAAATTTATTAAACTTTCATGTGGGCGCCATTGTCCTGGCTGCTCCACTTCCTATCCAGCTCCCCACTGGTGCACATAGGAAAGCAGTAGAAGATGAACAGCTTGGCTGTTGCAGCCATCTGGGGAGTGAATCAGCAGATGGAAGACCTCTCTGTCTCTCCCTCTCTCTGTCTGTAACTCTGCCTCTCAAATAAATAAGTAAATTTTTTAAAAGAAATTAGATTATAAAATTTTGCACCAAAGTAAACTGATCTTTTGATTCTGTTTTCCATGTTTTGAGGCCCCTTGTGCATCTCAGTGGTTGCAGGGAAGGGAGACCTCCTCACCTGCCCTGGACCTTCAGGTGTGGACGTGGGCTGAACGCCTGTTCTGAGCTGGGTTGGGCAGGGGTCCCAGGCCATGAGTTCTCTGCTGGCAAACTCTGGCTGGCAGACCCTGGCCCTTTGTTGGGCTGAGAGCATCCAGATATTCCTGAGCCACATTTGCTTGTAAGCATCAGTTGTGGTGCTGACAGCCTGGACTGGGGGTGGGGCGCAGACTCCTCCTCCCTGAGGGGCAGATGGCAGCCAGAGGGAGGAGCGTCCACCAGGGCTCTGCTCAGCAGGTTGCCTGGTCACAGCTCAGCCCACCAGCCAGGCTGATGCTGGTTACAGATGGCAAGGAAAAATTATGAAGTTGAAACAAGAAGTGTACCCCAAGTGTATGTGTGTGTGTGCTCATGTGTGTAAATGTGTCTTTTCAGTTTTCATTTATTTTTCAAAAAGGGAGAAACTAGAAAACAGTTCTTAACACTGTTTCCTGGAGAAGATAATCCAGAGAAGACAAGCTCTTTATCCTAACACTGTCAAGGTCAATGAATTTTTTTTTTTTATCAGAATCTACTTCTGAGAAAAGAGATGGGCTGGGCAAGGATTTGGGTAGCAGTTAAGACCCAGGCTGAGACACCTGCGTCCACAGAATGCCGGCTGGATATCTGGCTGCAGCTCCTGATTCCAGTTTCTTCCTGACTCAGACCCTAGAGGCAGTGGTCATGGCTCACACATGGGGTTTTAGCCACCCACATATACTTTGTGTTAACTGTTGTTTTATGGCTTAGATATTTATGGAAAACTAGTTTGAAAGCACTAGAAATAACTTAGAGGTATGACCTCCATGTTAACAAGAAGTAAGATAGGGGCCGGCGCAGTAGGGCAGCAGGTTGAAGCCCTGACCCGAAGTGCCAGCATCCCATATGAGTGCCAATTCAAGTCCCGGCTGCTTCACTTCCGATCCAGCTCTCTGCTATGGGCTGGGATAGCAGTAGAAGATGGCCCAAGTCCTTGAGCCTCTGCACCCACGTGGGAGACCTGGAACAGGTTCCTGTCTCCTGGCTTCCATAGGCACATCTCTGGCCATTGCGGCCAATTGGTGTGTGAACTAGAGCATGGAAGACCTCTCTCTCTTTCTGTGCCTCTCTCTTTCTCTCTCTATAACACTGACTTTTAAATAAATTAATTAATTAAAAAAAAAAACCTATGTGGTAGGGCATGAAAAAAAAAAAAAAAAAACGAAGAAGTTCCCTAGCATCTCTCAGCCTGGGGAAGTCTCAGTGCTGGACAGGGCAGGTGGTGGCTGAGGGGGAGGGGCTGAGGCACTGTGAGCTCTAAGCAGGCTGTGCTGCAGCCACTCCCAGGGCAGCTGTGGTGCTGTCTCCTGGCTGTGCTCCTGCTGACAACAGGGAGCGAGGTCCACAGGGCAGGACACTCCCTGCCCAGGCTGCTTCTGCAAGCTTTCACTGTAGATGCTGGAAGGAGACGCAGGGGCTGGCTCTTCTGGGTGGGAGGTCCTGGTGGGGCCCCAGGGCCAGGGCCTCTGCAGAGGCTGCTGCACTGTGCCAGCTCTGCTGCTCCTCTGGTCTCCTGGGAGCCCACTGCCTCCTTTGGATGAGGATTCCTGGGCCCCCAGCAAGGACCTGGAAGCAGGGGTTGTGCGCTGAGATGTGCAGTCTGCTGGGGTCTCTGTGGCTCTGAAGTTTCTGGAGCTGCTGAATGTTAGACCCTGCAGGAAGTCACAGCTTTCCCAGCTGGGAAGAAGGAGGAGCAGGTAAGCTGGCTTGAAGATGCCTGTGGGGGAGGAGGAGGATGGCAGGGAGCAGCTGACTGGGCAGGAGGCTGAGAGTGTGGTGGGGCACAGGCAGTGGGAGGGGGCGGCTGAGGATGTCTCAGTCCAGGGAGACCAGGACAGCAGTGAGCACTGAGCCTTTATTCACTTCTCTCACTTCTGCTCCTCAGTGTCTGCTGGGACCAGGCCCTGTTCTAACCTCACAGGGTGACTGCAGCGACACAAAGGCATGGACCCCTCCCTGCATTGGAGGGGGCTGCTGTTACCTCCCCCATTTGCTGATGAGGACACTGAGTCCAGGAAGGCCAAGGACTTTGCTAGAACTGGAGTCACCCAGAGTGGCTGAGAATGCAGGGAGCCCAGCAGAGGGGCCCTCGAGCCCGTCCTTCCCAGGACCAAAGCTGCCCTCCCCCCACCATAAATAGTGTGTGGGTCTTTCTCTGACCAAGGCTCATTTTCTCTTCTCTGTGGCCCTGCCTCCCACCAGGGTCATTAGCTGCTCACGCAAAATCTTTGAATGCAGAGAGAGTGAGGATTCGCAGGTCAGCAGGAACTGGCCCTGGGCACCTGCTGAACTGGGCCAGGACCTGGGCTTGTGGAGTATGAGGCTGGGGGTGGGGGTCAAATTTAGGTGAACACCACAGCCACAGATGCCACAGGTGCCGGGCCCCTGGGACGGGCAGCACAGGCTCGGTGAGGAGGGGTCTGTCTCTGACGCTTCTCAGGGACACCCAGGTCACCACTGGGGGTTGAAGAGCTGCAGGAAGCAGGAGGTGGTGTCCTTCAGGGTGAGTGGCCTGAATCAGGGTCCCCTGTCCTGGTGGGGTGGTCCTGGGCACTGTGTGCATAGTGCATGGTTTCCTCCATGGGGCCCCTGGGGCTGAGAAAGAAGAGACCTGATTTTCCAGGTGGAGGAACTCATTCCGGGTGGGAAGAGGGGGGGCTGTTTCCCCCCAGGCTGCCCTGAGGGTCTCTGGCACTGCAGTCTCCCCAGAAGGGCTGGTAGAGCCCCGGCCCAGCTGTCTGTGCTGTTGGGATCCTGTGGGCCCCACGGTGCTGGCGTGCTGAGGCTGTAGGGAAGGCTTCTGCTGCTGTGAGGGCTGACGGGAGGACCCTGTCCTGCTGGTGCTCTGGGGCTGACCTGCCTGCTGGCCCAGGCCTCCTCCTCCCCGCCTCTCTCCCCAGCTCTGAGGACATGGAGCACGGCTGCCGCCCCTCTCTGCTCTGCAGTCTCCCCTCCCTGCTTCTCCTCGCCCAGCTGCCCACGTGGGGCTCTGCAGGTGAGTCTGTCCCTGTCCCTCCCCGGGGTCTTCTTCAGGGAATGAGTGGACCCCCAGCCCTCTCAGTCAGGATGGGATGCGATTTGTGGGTGCCCAGGCTCTAGAAAGGCAATGGGGCTCTGTGGGGTGCAACTGGGAGCAACTCGGACTAGACTGTTACTGGAATTAAGACTTATTCTATGCATCTGCTCTCCCACAATATGGCGCTGGGAGAGGAGGAAACAGCTTCTACACAGCTGCCTCCAGTTCAACCAATAAACAGCAGGACCTGCTCCTGATTGGAGGAGAGCAGCGTACTCGGCGTGTGGGTAGCAGAGTTGGGATTGGTGGAAGAGGACTATAAAGGAGGAGAGAGACAACATGCACCAGGAACATCTAAGAGGAACATCTGAGGGAACACCTGTGCAGCCCCCGAGAGAGCCGGCCGGCGGTGTGCCGCTCCCCCGCGGAAGTGGGGAAATTGGCTAGGGGGAACCGCCCTTCCACGGAGGTGGAAGGGACGGTAGTCAACCCGGGAAGAACCAGCAGCAAACCCGGGAAGGGCCGAGCAGACAAAAGAACAGCGCAGGGTCCTGTGTCGTTCCTCCATGAAGAGGGGGAGCGACATAATGGTGCTGTGACTCGGATAGGAAACTTAGGAGGGAAGAAACGGGAAGAAGTGGGAAAATACCGGAGAGAGAGACTAGCAAAGAGCCTAGGGAAAAGCCGGACAGAAAAGGTGCCAGAAGAAGCTATTGAAAGCCTAGGCATAGACTCGGATACGGACTGTGGGAAAGACGTTAGGATTGAAAGCTAGGATTTAAAGTGAAAGCAAGAAGAAACTTAGACTCAGATACGGACTGCAGGTTGAAAGTGAAAGTGAAACCTAGAAGAAACTTAGACTTGGATACGGACTGTGGGGAGAAGCCAGGAGAAGTGAGAGGGGAATATTGTTGGAAGAAAAGTTAGGAAACATACCGGGTAGAGAAAAATATGTTAGGGAGAATGAATCCGCGGGGGCAGGCTGAGGCGGAGACGTAAGCCAGCTTGGGATTCTTCAAGTCAGCCCGGGGAACAAGGGGTGAAAATCTGGAACCAGAGGCGGAGACGTGGGCCAGGTTGGAATCCGTCAGATTAGCCCGGGGAGCAAAAGACGGGAAGCCAAACCGAAAGGCGCAGACGTGAGCTAGGTTGAATTTGCCAGGTTAGCCCGGGGAACTTAGATTGAATACCGGTGGCGGAAACGTGAGCTAGGCTGTGTGACTCGCGGAAGCCGCCGCGCGCAGAGAGAGCGTGCGGGGCACGCATGGGGAGAGCGCACAGGGCGCAAATAGTAGCCAGTAAGCCGCGCAGAGCTGGGAAGCCGCTGCAGGGCGGGCGCCGGGAAGCCACGCAGAGCCGGGAAGCCGCCGCGGGTGAGGCGCCGAGAAGCAGCCTCGGAGCGGGTGCCAGGAAGCCGCGGGGATAAGAGAAACAGAAGTTTAGAAGTAAAATGACAGAAATAGGAATGCTGGCAGATAGAAGTAAAATAGGAGAAATAGGAATGCCCGGAGATAGAGAAATAGAGAAAAATAAGGCCTCCCCACAACATGGCAATGAGAGAGCTTGGATTCGGTCTGCCTGATTAGTAAGATGATAAGCACCTGTGGGCAGGCTGCAGGTCACCGAAAGACAGGCACTGTTATCAACATCAATAAGTCTCCCCACAATACGGCAATGAGAAGGCTCGGATTCGGTTTGCCTGATTGGTAGGGCTTGTAAGCACCTGCAGGCAGTTCTAGCAGAGCAGAGCATGCGCTGCAGGGCACCGAACACAGGCACGCATCAGCGCCTAAAAACCTCCTCACAACATGGTGAAGAGAGGACCCGGACTCGGTTTGCCTGATTGATAGGGCTTGTAAGCACCTGTGGGCAACTCTAGCAAGCAGAGCAGAGTGTGTGCCACGGGGCACCGAAGACAGGCGCGTATCAATGCCAAAAATAAAAAGAAAGGGGGCTCTGTGGGGAGCAACTGGGAGCAACTCGGACTAGACTGTTACTGGAATTAAGACTTATTCTATGCATCTGCTCTCCCACAATATGGCGCTAGGAGAGGAGGAAACAGCTTCTACACAGCTGCCTCCAGTTCAACCAATAAACAGCAGGACCTGCTCCTGATTGGAGGAGAGCAGCGTACTCGGCGTGTGGGTAGCAGAGTTGGGATTGGTGGAAGAGGACTATAAAGGAGGAGAGAGACAACATGCACCAGGAACATCTAAGAGGAACATCTGAGGGAACACCTGTGCAGCCCCCGAGAGAGCCGGCCGGCGGTGTGCCGCTCCCCCGCGGAAGTGGGGAAAGTGGCAGGGGGAACCGCCCTTCCACGGAGGTGGAAGGGACGGTAGCCAACCCGGGAAGAACCAGCAGCAAACCCGGGAAGGGCCGAGCAGACGAAAGAACAGCACAGGGTCCTGTGTCGTTCCTCCATGAAGAGGGGGAGCGACAGGGCTCCCCCAATGGTTACTTGTCATTAAAAGTTTACTACCAGTCCCTCACCCATAAAGTGAGCACATGGGTTTTGACAGTTGTCTAGGTTTTTAGGGTATTTAATTAATTAATTAATTAATTCAAAAGATTTATTGATTTATTCGAAGGTTAGAGTTACACACACAGAGAGAGAGAAGGAGACAGACAGAGCTATCCACTAGTTTACTCCCCAAATGGCTGCAATGGCTGGATCTGTGCCAGGCTGAAGCCAGGAGCCAGGACCTCCTCTGGGTCTCCCATGTGGCTGCAGGGAGCCAGGCACGAGGGCCATCTTCCACTGCTTTCCCAGGCGCATTAGCAGGAGCTGGGTCACAGAAGTGGAACAGCTGGGACATGATCAGTGTCCAGTTGGGATGATGGTGTCACAAGTGGGGCTTAACCTGCTACTCCACAGTGCTGGCCCTTTCTGGGGTATTTTAATGTCAAGTATCAATAATTTGAAAATGCCTTTCCCACAGTTTTTGGTTTCCCTCCTCTTCTGGGGTTCTGAGCACCCATTTATTTGTCCCCCCAATATTAATGGAATGCAGACTGCGTGTTAGGCTCTGCTCTGTGCACACAGCAGACAGTGCTACCCGGGGTGCCCAGGCTCTCCTTCCAGCAGGAGACAGGCCTGTGTCTGTGAGAGATGAGTGGTGGGAAGTGAGGGGGGCAGGGAATGTGGGTGGGGTGTGGGCAGCAGCCATGCTCAGGGAGGCGGGCAGTGTAGATGGTGAGATGGGAACAGAGATTAGGAGGAGCAGGTGAGCTGTGAGGACCCCCAGGGAAAGAGAATTCTACGGGGGCAGCTGGTGCCGAGCTGGCAGTGTGTGGGGGTGAGGAGCAGCAGAGGGAAGCGCTGGCTGGAGCAGAGGGCGCCTAGGGAGAGAAGCAGGAGATGGGGTCTGAGTGTGCTGGGTTCTACCTGCTGGGCATGTGGGACACTCGGGAGGGGACTGGGGAGCCAGAGGAGGGCTCTGGGCAGAGTAGGGACGTGGTTTAGCTCATGTGCTGAGAGGATCACAGTGTGGGGTGGGGAGGGAACAGCCAGGTGCCTGGTCTGTAGCCATCTCTGGGTGTGAGACGAACATGGCTGGGCCAGGAGGGAGCAGCACAGAGCTGAGGGGGGCTGTTCCGGGGCCATGGCCGCTGGTCCTGCAGAAGTCCTCCTGTGACCCTGTTGCCAGGCCTCAGAGGGACAAGGACTAAGAAGGAGTG